CCCCAAAACCCCAAAACCCCAAAACCCCACGTGTCAAAGTTTGGAAAAAATTCTATCATAATTATTAATTTAAAATTTAATTGGTAAAAGATGCCTAAAGACTTTAAAGTGAGCTTATTTACAGCATTTATTATTTTCTCATGTGCTGCTATCAATCAAGTTGATTCTCATTTTGTCAAAGAGTTTAACATCTAAACATTATGCGAAATGAATTCCCTTATTTTAGAATCAATAGAGGCCTTAAAAGAGAATTTAGTTCCATCTCAAAAATATGTTTGGCAATCATTTATGCTAACTGATAAACATTACTATCATTAAAGCGAGACTATAGAAATATATGTGAATGCTTTCGATAGAGACACCCTGTTACAGCCATTTACAAAAGAATTAAATCTTGAGCAGGGAGAGTTAGATAAATTCAAATCATCAATCTACGTTGATATTACTTCAAAGATGCAAAGTATCCTTTTGAGAGAAAATGTCGTCATTGACTCAATAAATGGAGGGATCACTAAAATCGACCTATTTAATATCCAAATAGATTCAGGCTTTTTCACTCTTAGGGTTTACGGGGATAATATAATTCCTTAGCATTAGGTCATCTACATTTATGGTAAAGATGAAAAATTAAATGTAATTTAACATTCAGAGAACGAGCATAAGAAAGAAGATCCTTCTGAAAGTTAAATTAAAGAAGATACTTCAGCAAGTTAAGATATTCTGAGTGTTTCTTTTAATAGGAAAGTCTATGTAGTAGGTGCTTTTGCCTAATTAAAAATATTGATAAACTAAAAACATTTGGACTTTAATAAATATAGTATTAAAGTTAATATCAAAGATGGAAGTAGATAAATAGGAGATAGAGAAATCATTCAATCCCCGAGAAGAGAGGGAGTAATAATCCTGAATATAAGTTTACCAATTAAGATATAAGAAGAATCAATTTTAGCAATTGTGAAGTTATAATAACGAAATGATTCTACAATCATTACTTAGATAGAAACTACTGCAAGAATATTCAAACTTAATTAAGATCAATAATCTGACTTAAAATTTTCAGATGTTATCGTTAATTATAAAAAACCTGATCAATTGAAGTCACTTAAAGTCTTATATACCAAGGATTCAAATTAGAATTATGAAGCCAATTTACCAAATAAGTATTATGTAACGATTTATGATGAAATTTCGGGAGAATTATATGACTTTAAAACATTGAGAATTTTTTCCAATTACTAGCCTAATGAAATAATTACATTTGTTCAACCATTTACCAAAGGTAAAGCTATATTTGAATACAGAAATGGAGATAATGACTATCCTATTATTCAATTTAAAAACGATGCAACACTTAGGTACATTACTGAGGCTCTCACTCCTGAAAAAAACCCATTGAAAACCCTTTTGCAATTTAATAAGTGGTTGGGCCTTAATTACAATCCAGCCTTAAATGATAGAATTGAAAAATAATTTGTGAACAGTAATCCAAACCTTTAGGAAAAGTTAAAATCAATAGAGTAATCACTAAATATTAAAAATCTAGATTATTCCTAGTTCATCCCATTAGATTTGCTTTATGGATTAAAACTATCTTAAACTAGTTTATCTGGTTGTAATGATATATCCTAGTATCATAAAACATACCCTCTGAGAATTGAATATGACTATTAGATAGATGAAATCAAACACCATATTAAGAAAATGAATTCTCTCTAAAGCGAAGAGTATTCAATGATAATTAGCTTTACAATTATTAACAGAGTCTTAAAAAGTGAAGAAGAAGATCTATAATATAGCATTAAGGGAAATTAGAAAATGGTTCGTAGAGAAAACTTCATTTTACAGATTACCCACAGATAATAGATCATTTAGCAAACAATTTTTTCAATTCGTGCAGGAGAGGAAGTTAATAGCAGTATAAAAGCAGCAAATATGAAAGGGTTTTATGGATCTTTTACAGCTAATATCTTCTTGGTAGATGAAGAATCACTATTAGTACTAAATAAAATCTATGAAGAAATTAAAGCATCAGGAATAAAGAGATTATACAGTGCATAAAATTTACTGAAATCATTCTAGATTCAAACCTCATCAAATTTTTATAAAAAGAGACAAAACCAGAAAATTTAAGTCAATATATCTCTTTAAAATAATGATAGACCAATAATTGAGGGGTAAACTTTCAAATTTAGAGTAGATCTACTTAAATTAGCAGAAGGTTAAGTTGATCAAGATTATTACTTAGTAGCTATTTTAAGAGAATAAAGCAATCAGACTATTGAAAATACAATGTGCTCATCTCTGAAGTCCTAAATTGAGATGTATCCAGAATTAGTCACGATTCAGAACTATGACTGTCATAATTTCGAATAACATGAGCATCATGTGAATATATCTGATGATTAATATGAATTTTTCTCTGCTTTTCATTCAAGTAGAATGTCAATATTAGACTTACCTAATCTCTAATACTTCAATAAATCAGGAGAGGACACTTATGAAAAAGTGATTCGATTCCAGAATTTGTTTGGAAATACCTTAAACAAAAAATCAGATTATTACTAGAAAAATCCACCTGTTTTGCATCATAATGTGAGTGAAATTCCCTAATTAGGTAATCAAGAAACATCTAACAGAGTAAAAATCATAAAGGGAAATATGAAAGATCAAAGATTTGAAGGAGACTTCTAAGTAGACAACTCTCAGAAATCATATGAATTACTTGTAAATGTTTACTCATCTAAAGGGGATCACACTATTTCTAGAATACATTTTAACACTACAAGTGCAGTTGATTTAAAATTAGTTAAAAATAATCTGATTGTTGTAAGTCCCTTCTGGAGAGCAACAATAGTCAACTTGGAGCTGACTAATAGGTTTGAAACAGAAATAACCTATAATCTTATATAGATAGAAGACAATGAAAAGGATTTATCTATAAAGAATAGACAGCTTTATGACCATAATACTCTTAAAAACTAGGTGCTAGATTCCTAGAGCAAACAAATTCTTAATTTCACGATACAAATTCCAGAGTCTTAGGAATATTAATTACATCTTAAAGAAATAAAAGTGAAATTAACTGCAATTTCTTAAGGAATGAAAACAATCAAGATCCTAAAATTCAATATTGGTGTTGAGGGCTATTAGTTAGAATCAAATCTTGTTAAATCAGGTATCATCAGTTATGACAGAGCTAATATGTCCTATAATTTAGGTTATAAGATCTATCAACATAGCAATGAAATAAATTCAAATAATCAAACATACTAGCTCTAAATTTTTAGATCACTTGACGACTTTATAATAGATGAGCCAGTTCAGTTTATAGAGTAACGATACTTTGGATTCAATTTTAATCTGAGGAACATTATTATACGATCTATAAAATGCTAAATAATTTGGAAGGTCAATGAGGCTACATCTTTACTAAACCGATAGAAGAAACATGAAATTGAACTGAGTGATAACAAACTGGCAATAGCTGAGTCATTCAAAGCAATCCTTGGAGATCTGATACTACTTAGAAAGTCTGATCCAAATAGTTTTAAAGACCAAGAAATTGATTTTAACTAGCTACATTTAGTCTCCTTCGCTCTTGATCAAATGGTCAAATCTACTAATACATTCCAAGCCTTTTACATTAGAATGCTCAGCTCTGAAATTATCTAAAAGCAATACTATCAGAAAGAATTGCTATTAAGCATTGACTACTACGATAATCCAGATTTTGCTTAAAGGTTTATAAACGAATTCCTAGTAAAAGCTTGGATAGCTCTCTAAGAGAATGTTGATTAGAAACTAAAGGTAGATATCTTAGATACTCTACTGTACCATTCAAATATTATAGAATTTGAAGGAAACGTTTAAAAGGATATTAACTATCAAATAATTGCATTATTTATTGTAATGATGTTTGATGGAACTAAAACTCACGGTATCTATGCTGGTGCTTTTGAATCCCTTATTGTTCATGTTGATAGAGATTTTATATTGCTAAGTCAACATGCTTAATTTGATGATAAAACAGAGTAAATGATCTTCTATTCATCATTAAGACTTCTTTAATAGCTCAAGGTACTTTAAGAAAAGTAGTTTCAGGTGTCTGAATAAAAATTAATTAGAAAGTATAAAGCACTAATACAAAATTTAAGATTTGTTGAACAGTGCTCATTTGAAGTATAACTCTTTTATTACATGAGTATCCTGAGCTTTTAAGATGCAAAAAATGCCAAAAAGGAACTCCATAATGATCAAGATTTGAATATTAGAACTAATATTTTTCTTGATAACTATTATGTCGACAATGTATTGTTTAATTTGCCAAAGGACGAAGATATAGAGACTGTGGATATTACTGAGATTGTAAAAGTGGTATATCCTGAGAACACTCGCATTGATGACATTATCATCAAGCCAATCCTAATAATCTTGGAAGAAGAATGATTACAAATATCTCCTAGAATCGAATTCTTTTGGGATTAATTTAAGATTTAAATTTAATGAGCTATATGCTATTTACATAATATACGATAACTATTAAATTCATCTATGGGGTTTTGGGGTTTTGGGG